AGTAAAGCATTTCCTGTTTATGTCCTAGGAGGTTCAGCTACTAAATAGATCAACTTCCTCCAGCCCCAGCAGACACTGTCTACCCTGGGGAAAAGCCTTCTCATTTTGTGTTTATTCTAGACGATCTTGGTCTGACCTGAGAACATAGATCTTTGGAAGACAGAGCTAGTCTGACTTAGAGGTTACTGTACTCGCCTGCCCACTGCATCCTTCCCAAAGGGAATGAGGACAGGGCCAGCCCCAGCTCAGACGAGAAGCTGGGAAGAGGGAAAATATAGGAAGCAAAAAATGTGTAGAGATTACTCAAAAAGAAACCTTAGCCCAGACGCACCAGTCAAAAGCAAAAAATACTCAGAGATCAGGGTGAGGGCTGCTCGAGCAAGGAGGCATCCTTGGCTTCCTGAAATCCTTAAGGGGCGGGGATCTGATGGCTCCTTCAGCTCATGCACGCCCTTGGCCTGTGGACCAGCCAGCGAATCTTTCTCTCAGGGGACCTCGGTTTTCCCCACTGTCAAAATAGATACCAAAAGCTGGTTCCAGTGACCTCACCAAGTAGCATGAAATCAAATACAATTTCATGGCCTTACATGAAGGAGGAACTCTGAAAACTGCAGGAAGCCACCCTGAACCCAAAATATCCCCTGTTGTCACCATTGCCAATTACTGAGGCCCTTATGGAGACTGGTTACCTCTGTAATTCTCCGAAGGATGTATTTAGGGCATTCTTGCTTTGTAACTGTCTTTGGGATTTTGCAATACAGTATTCTACTAATTTTAAATATGCATAGTTTCAGCTTACAAACAAGTTGTGTTCCAAAAGTAGATTTGCAGGTTGGTTAGTTGGCTCTCAGAATTCAGTTTCACATGAAAACTGTGCTAAAACAAAATCTATGATTCATGTGCAGTCAAGCTAGTAGAAAACAATACTGTTACAATGCGGTAATGAGGCCAAATGGAAAAAATATTATATTAAAACTGACCAAGTGAATGGTACACTGACTAGCTTAAATCCAGGTACTTTAAAATTCTCCACTAATATGCTTGAATGCTGCTGTTTCCTGTATCCCGAAGCCTTGTGCTGGGCATAAAGCAGACAAGGAGGGGAGGTGGAAAATTGTGATGGAATTCCTAGCAAGTCAGAGCAACCCACACATTTCTCCTCTAGAACTTCCCGGAGCTAGGCTTCCTCCACCGTCTGTGTCCACCGACCACTTCCCGGTGGGGCTCCACCCCACCCTTAACACGCCTCCCCATCTTTCTCTAGCAAAGATGAGGGCCACACACAAGGTGTTACGATTTAGGGGGCAGAGGGGTTGACATTTCTACTTTTAAATTTACTAAGATACTTTAACTGCAAAAAAGGAAAGTAGCAGGTCCTCAGTTGCCAGGTTCTAACCCAGAGGAACAGAGCATTAAATCAAGCATGGAGCGACCATACTGTGTTACTGCACAGGCCACACATTCATGACGCCGGCCCTGAACGTGGCATCCACCTGCTGGACAGCATTGACCCTCCTGGGTCATGTCCCATTTCCTGTCCATATTTCCCAGGTGCCTTCGTTTAGCCTCCCTCCATTGTGTGGACCATGCCAAGGGCCCCTAAGAAAGCCACCTCTGGGTCCTGGCCTCAGAGACGCCCTCTGTCTCCAGGGTCCTACCACTATTTGGCTAAGCAGACAGTCTCTAAACCAGCACACACTTTCCATCTCACACTGTGCCTGCACAAAACTTCCTCTATGACAAACTTTCAAAAATAGGAACACAGCACCCCGGGACAAAGGCAACAGACATGGCTGCAGGGGTCACACTGGGTTCTTCCTGTTTCAGCATCTACTTGTTCACTGGTCTACACTTCAGCATGCTGGCTGCACCCAGGCCTTTCTTTCGGTTTCTAGCCAACATTAAGCCCCATTGTGATGGTTAATGTTATGTGTCAACTTGACTGGGCCACGGGATGCCCAGATATTTGGTCAAACATTATTCTGAGTGTGTCTGTGAGGGTGTTTTTGGATGAGATTCACATTGGAATCAGCAGGCTAAGTGAAGCAGATTGCCCTCCCCAGTATGGGTGGGCATCGTCCAATCAGTCAAAGGCCTGAATAGAACAAAAAGGCTGACCCTCTCAAGACTAAGGGAAAAAAACACACCCTGCCTGATTCCCTTGAGCTGGGACATCGGTCTCCCGCCTTTGGACTCAAACTGAAATGTTGGCTCTTCTTGGGTATGGAAACTGCTTGCTTGGGGACTGGAGCTTCCACCACCAGCTCTCCTGGGTCTCCAGCTATTGACTGCAGACTGTGGGACTTAGCCTCCATAATCTCACGAGCTAATTCCTTATAATAAATTTCTACTATCTGTCTATCTACCTACCTACCTACCTATGTATCAATCTTAAAAAAGCCTTTGTTTTATATGTATTTATATTTTTACATATATATATATATAATCTCCTATTGGTTCTGTTTCTCTGGAGAACTGTAACTAATGCACCCCGTCTATCCAAAAAAAGTGCAGTTAGGATTGAAAGTGCCCATAACGATGAACAGGATGTCAGTGCCCTTCAACCAACGGCCCCCAGGAACACACCTGTGGGTGACCAGCATCACACTGAGGGAGAACATTCACTGTGGGGAACTGTGGAGCATCTCTGTAAGAATAGCAAGAACCTATTATAGAATTTGGGCTTTGGGGGTGATTGGGAAGGATCCAAGAAAGCAATGGATTGCACAAAAAAATAAGGACAGAAAGTGAGACAATTCTATGTTTATCTCAACAAATACCTTCTCTCTGGGGAGGGCTAACTAGAGCAGGGATAAAGCTATGCTTGGTAAAGACGCTGCAGTCACTCATTTCAGCTGACGGGAGTGTTGTTTGGAAGTTTGTGGTGGCACGGTGATTTTGGTTTGCCCTGGCTTGGACAAAGGTACGAAGTGGCCCTGTGTTGTCTCACTTTGTCATGGTCTCAGAGTGGCCTTTTCTGATGTTGGTGTTCTGTGAGATTATTTGTGTCCCGCTACCCCACGTTCTCAGTCACTTCTGCTCCCCCAGTCCTCCCCTCCCTTGCCCCAGCCTGCCCCTCCACCCAGAAGAGAGCTGAAAGCTTATCCAGAGAGGCAGATGGCTGGGTCTCCCTTATGCAGACAGAGGGTCTCTGGGACCTTCTGAGGGGAGTAGCCGCAATACACACAAGCTTCTTTCCTGCTTATTGTGACTCCCTTTCTAAAATCTTTGTACTCTGTGTTATTACCAAAACCCAAGCACTGTGCTGAACACTTTACATATATTCACGAATTCGACCCTTAAAACAGCCCTAGAAGGTAAGTATAGTATTGTTTTCACTTTGATGGTGGGGTAACCCAGGTACCCATAGAGTAAAAAACAATAACAACAACAAAGCAAACCCTGACAACAAAGAACTACACTCCACCCACCACGAAAAAGTCCCTCTTGTGCTTGATCACGTGGCACGATGTGCATCTATGCAGGATGACGTGGTCAAAATCAGAGAACTTCCTTTCCATCTGCACACTATTTCCAGAGTAAAGTATCATTTCGCCCTGGACCAAAACCCTGCACTGCTCCCTACTGCCTAAAGAATGAAGCCCAAGTGCCTTACATCGAGACCCAGGCCAGATTTGAGACCCTGTCTCGACTATGCCGGTGTCCTTAGTTTCCCCTTTCCCCTAAGTGAGCTTCCTGCTATGCCCACAGCCATACATTCACTGCCCCCTGAACATGTCAAATGCATTTCCACGTCCATGCTACTCCCTCCAGCTGGAATATCCCCCGACCTCCATCCAATCTCAGTTCCATCTCCCCTTCCCAACTCAGATCTGTGTTCCTCTGTGCAGTTTTCCTGGCAGGTATCCTGTGCTATTTTATATTCTTATTTATGTTTTTATGTATCACCCTTGTTGTCCCAATAAGACGTATGGTAGATAGTTTGCAAAACAACCACAATAGTTTCTCCCCTGCCTACATGTGTGTCCTTTTGCAGCATGACTTGCCCTGGCCACTTCTACCTTCAAGAGGCAGAGTCTTTGTCTTCACTCTTTTGAGTCTGAGTTTGAATGTAAATATGACTTGTTCTGGCCATTGGAATGTTAGATAATCCTCACCACCATGTGAGGAGCCTGGGCTAGCCAGCAAAGGATTAGAAAATACAAGGAGCAGAGATGGATCTTCCCAGCTGATCAACCAAAGCCAGGCTATCCTAGACCAACCAGCCTGCCAGATGTGTGAATGAGGCCATCCTAAATCATCCAGCCCCAGTTAAGCCATCCTGGACAGAAAAGCATTCAAGCCAACCCAAGGAATTGTGAACAAACAATAGATGTTTGTTTTTACATGCCAGGACATTTTGAGATAGTTTGTTATGCAGCAAAAGCTAACAAATACAACATTATAAACTCCATCAGGTGCTGCGCTATGACCCACCTTACCTGAATTCTTGGAATTCAGCCTTGCACATGACAGTCAGTCTTCAATAAATGTTTGTTTTTGATGATAACAACTTGAATAAAGAATGTTGAGGAATTCCCTAGAAGTCCAGTGGTTAGGACTCCATGCTTTCACTGCCGAGGGCCCAGGTTCAATCCCTGATTGGGGAACTAAGATCCCACAAGCTGCAAGGCATAGCCAAAATAAATAAATAAATAAAGTAAAAAAAAAAAAGAATATTGAGAGCTGGAGTTTGAAGGAGGCCAGACCTAGCCTTCAGAGAGGATGGAGATCTGGGGGTGCCTGGGAAAGTTGTTTCATGCTTAAAACCTGGACTGAGCCAACTGGGTGATATCAGAGTTCATGTTCGCCTACCTTAACTCTGTGGAGTTTCTATCATGAAATCCCCTTCTCTCACAGGACAACTTAGCTATGCACTAACTTGGCCATCACATGCTGGATTCAGCTGATGGAGTAGCAGGAAGGGGTTACCTTTGGGAAGAGAGATGCAGCCTCTGGAGGTGAGCTCTCACATTTTATCATTCCTTCCATTTATCTAGTGTTTACTGAACACCCACCATGTGCCTGGTGGTGGGCTGGGGACTAAGGAAATGAACAAGCCTGATCCCACCAGGTCCTCAAGTGGCTCTAGTCTGAAGCGTCAGAACACGTCTGACCATCTCCTGGCTCAAGTTCAACAAGAAGAGTGGTGAGTTAGAGAGCTCCTGTTCTAGGGCTCATTTTTCTGAACAAATTTATAGACAATTTCCCAAGTCTTTAAGTTTATATTTTCTTAACCAAACTGAACTTTTCTTAAGAAAACAAGTAAAAATTAATTGTCCTTAATGGTATAATCATCTAACTCCAGATGTAACGAAACTCTGTGCAGCTGAGTCCTGGGTGCCACATTCTCAACATCAAGACCTCAGACCGTGGTGGAAGAATGAAAGGCAGTGATGCCTGGTGTCCTCCAAAGGTTCTGTGACACCCTGCCTGATGGCCAAGGGCCTGACCGTGGCTCCTCGGATGGGTTATAGTAATCACACACCCAATCATGGATTACTGGGTATTGAGTGCTTATTATTTAAGTGCTAACAGTTTTAAACACTCTATTCTTTTCAATTCTCTCAGCAACCCCGTGAGATAGGAACTACTATGATGTCTTTTTGCAGATGAGAAAACCGAAGCACTGAGAAGTTAAGTAACTCACCCAGGGTCACACAGCTAATACGTAGTGTTTTCGTTTTTATCTTTCGTAAAGCTTGCACCACTTTAGACCTGGCCTGTTAATAGCACTGTTAGGAGACTCCCTGGACTCCTTTCCTTTCCTCCCACTCTAGAACTTCAGTGTCCCTGCAGCCCAGCACTTATTTATAGGTGGTAACTTGCCTTCTGCTGTTTTTGCTCTTAGAGGATTGGAAGTGCTTCTAACACAACACTTTACTTCCAGTTTGGTTTATCTTTGAGCTTTAGCTCAAAACAAATAGGAGAGCCTGACCTGTTCCCTCCAGGCAGCTTCTGAATGAGAGCCTTCCAGAACTGTCAGCCAGCGCTTAGCTGACACCAGCCCAGCTCCAGGCTGCAGGTGACTTGGGGAGGCTCTGGGAGGCTCGCGGGCGCTCCTGTCCCAGCGCTGAGCAACAGGCCTGCAGACAGGGCTGGCTGAGTGAGGGAGTCACTGGGTCCGAGAGGCAGGAAACGACCTCACCTGCCAGGCCAGGACCAGTCTTTTCTACTTTCAGTTATAGACATTTTGTAAAAAGAAGAAGAGAAAACCCTGGAGAGATGGCTCCCTACCTGGATGTGGTCCCCAGCCCCTCCCTTCCTTTCCTGCTCTCTGTCCTGAGCTACTTCCCTCCCTCCCTCTCCTCTCAGCCCAGCCCTTCCTTTCCTCCTCCTCGCCCATCCCCCTTCGCACACAAGATCTCCTCTCCCTTTCCTAAAGTCCAGCCTATAGGAATTTCCTCCTAATTCAGATCCGGTTTTCCGGCGTTACCATGGCAACCCGTGGCTACCAAGGCTTTTCAGCAAAGTCACTTCTCCCCTACATTTTTCATAGAAATCTGCATTCTACATCTTGCTCCTCCCCACTTGCCGTGTTTGAGCAAAACTCTAGCCCCAGGCTCTCCAACATCTTTAAATGTTTTTAAACAGCCATATCTCTTTTATATCAACTATGTTGATGTATTTTGAATAATTTAAGATATAATGTCATCAACTTAGTTAATTCCGAATACATCAGTACAATTTTCTCCATGGAGCGTACCTGGCTTACTTAGTGAGGGGTGGACAAGTTGCATTTGTATTCATGCAGGGGCGTTGACAGGAGCTGAATTGTGAATACTGAGTAGGGAAGTGGCTCAGGTGGGACTGTTGGTGCCCCACAGGGAAGGTGGGAGCAAACCAGAAACCTTCCCCAAGGAAAATGTCCTGCCCACAAGTGTCAGTGAGAGCTTGTGAAAATAGGCACAAAACACCCAGAACTCAGCATCCTCTCCAAGCCCTGAGCAAAAAATCCTAAATCTGGTGCAAAGATAAGAATGTGCCCTCTGAAATTAGGCAGAATTGAGTGTTATCCTCAATGCTGTTAATGAACTAGCTGTGCTTGGGCAGGTTCCTTACCCTCTCTGAATCTCAGTAGTATATCTTTCAAAGTTATTGGGAGAAATAAATGGGCTAATGCACGTAAAAGGCCCTAAAGTAGTTCTCGGCACACACTCGCTAAAGAGTAACTGCCATATTCCAGTTATTGTCATGAGCAAAGTTCTACGAGGCAGCATCAAGATTCAAGCTGAGCACAAGAAGCAGATACCAAGGTTACCAAATAATCAGGCTGCACAGCTGGTAACCAAACCAGAAGTCATGGTCTCAACGCTCCAAAGTTCATATAAGCAGTAATGAGACACTAAGGCACCAAGTCTCATCAGACACTGTTACAGGAGCAACATCGTAGCGTCATCAGGTGGAAACTGACCCAGCAAAGGAACCGTGCACTGGCTGCTTTCAGTGTCCTCTCCCCTCTCCATGGCCTACTGGAGATGTGCTGGAATGTGTGTTAGGCAAGCCAAGAGCTGGGAGCAGGACAGTGTAGGGAGAGAAAGTCAGGTCCCTACTGGGGCCCAGAAAAGAAAGTTGAGCACACACAGATGGGGACTTGACCTGAGCTAGTTCAGCAGGACCCGTGAGTGTGGGGTTGGTTCCAAGCCTTGAACCTTCAACTTGAAAAATATGTTATGCAGAAGATTCTGAAATTTAGTGCATAACAGGACGGTAGATGAGACATTTCCTGGCATCCACAGCAGCAGGGGCCACATCAGCAGTGCTGTACATACTAAGAGACTATACCTACAAAAGCAACCACTAGCTCAAGACCCCCTTCTAGGATATATAAGAGAAGATCAAGTAAAACTACTGGGGGCCCCTTCTTTGGAAGTTGTTTCCCAGGCAGAGGTAGCAGGGAGCGGGGCAGAGAATTTGGCCCATGTCTGCTCGAAGGTGGTGGGCTGCTGTTTGAGAAAAATCTAAAGGTGAGACATTATAATTAAAGCTTCTCCTGAGGTTGGAGGAAAAAGGGAAGCCAACTGCACTTTTAGAAGCAAAGGAACACAGGTCTCACCACGGGTCAGCCATGAGCTCCCTGAGAGGGAGCCAACTGTATAGTCTTGAACAGGACTCTGCCCAGAGGAGTGAGATGACACAACAGAGGGTCTGTGTGGGGCAGACTTAGGAGCCAGGAAGGAGTCATAAGTAGCCAGCTGGAAGAAGCATAGTCCAGGACAGAAAACTGTGGTTAGAGGGATCCTGGCAAACCCACAGAAGAGATCTATGAGGGGGAAAATTAGCATCTGAACATGAGTCACACACAGAAGGCACCAAACCAGGTGACAGTAGTACAGATCTAGTAAGAACTTTTCTCTTCCGCTTATCTTCCTCTCTCCTTGAGCCAACCACGGAGAAGCTAGAGGCAGGATGGGGCAATAGAGGGCAACAAGATGGGGAGATAAGGAAGAAAAAACTGGTCTCCACACCTACCCTCAGCCACTGCATGTTTCCTAGCCAAGTATGGTCTTAACCAGGAGAGGAGCTTAATCCAGGTGAAGGATACATGTTTTTTTTCTTTTCTCAGCTTTATTGAGGTATAATTGACAAAAATTGTATGCATTTAAGGGGTACAACTTGATGGTTTCATATAAATACACATTGTGAAGTGATCACCACAATCAAGCTAATTAGCATTACCTCACATAGTTACCATTTTGGGGTTTTGTTTTCTTTTCTTTTCTTTTCATCCCCCTACCCTCCATCCCCTCTGGCAATCACCTTTTGTCCTCTGTATCCATGAGTCTATTTCTGTTTTGTTTCGTTTGTTCATTTCTTTTGTTTTTTAGCTTCCACATATAAGTGAAGGCATACGTCTTTCTTTCTTTGTCTGACTTTCCTCACTTACCATAAGACCCTTTAGATCCATCCATGTTGCCACAAAAGGCAAGATTTCATTCTTTTTTAGGGCTGAAAAGCTATGTTATATTCTATTGTATATCTATTTCGTATCTATCTATCTATCTATCTAATCTTCTTTATCCATTCATTTATCAATGAACACTTAAGTTGCTTCCATATCTTGGCTAGTGCTGCAATGAGCATATGAGTGCATGAATCTTTTAGAATTAGTGTTTTTGTTCTCTTTGAAAAAATACCCAAAAGTGGAATTGCTGGATCATATGGTAGTTCTATTTTTAATTTTGGGGGGAAACTTCATACTGTTTTCCATAGTAGCTACACCAATTTACCCTCCCACCAACAGTGCATGAGGGTCCCATTTTCTCCATATCTCACCATCTGTTGTCATTTGTGGTCTTTTTGATGATGTCCATTCCAATAGATGTGAGGTGATATCTCATTGTAGTTTTGGTTTGCATTTCCCTAATTATTAGTGATGTTGAGCATCTTCTCGTGTGCCTGTTGGCCATCTGTATGTCTTCCCTGGGAAAATGTTTATTCAGGTCCTCTGCCCATTTTTTTTTTTTCCCCATGGGCAAATCTGTTTTATCCAGAGTAACTGAAAAGTACCAGATGCTCTGCTGCACAGAAGGCACGGGACCCAAGTGCAATTCCATTGACACCAAGTTCTAGAACAGGTAAAACACACCTATGGCTGCCATAAAGTCAGCAGGTTTACACCTGGGAGTGGGGGTGGGGGGATGCAGTGGGAGTAGCTGGGAAAGGACACAAGGGGCTTCTGCAATGGGGAAGAACAGAGAAGGGGCTGAGAATGTTCTAGGTCTTGATCTGGACTCAGGTGCTGTGGAGGTGCACATGTGTAAAATTTCATGGACTGACACTGCTGTGCACACTCAGCGTGTGTATGTGCAACTCCAGTTTTTTGTTGTTTCTTTTAAGGGAAACAATTGGATCTGGGAAGGTTGGCATCTTTTAAGCTAGGGAATGGTGGAGAATTCTCTCTTCTTGTCTGATAAAGTTGAGGAAGAAAACTGAAAGTCTTCTAGAGGTGATGTCTGGAGAGATGGGTGACTGAAATATAAGGGGCATTTCCTTGCCAGCAGGAGAATAAAAAGCTGCCATCTTCCACCATCCGAGTCCCAAAGCTCGGAGACATTTCCAAAGATTGTTTAATTGATTTTTCTCCTATTTATATGCAGATCATAGTGTCTGGGGCCCAGGAATTCAGACACACGGCTTTGGGTCCAC